AATTTCCGAACAATGAGATGAGGTATCCAAGTAAGTTTATCGTTTCTTCTCTCTCTCTCTCTCTCTATCTCGATCCACAGTTAAAGGCAAATTAGGGCTAAAGATTGACATGAATGAAAATTGACTTTTGAAAGATGTGCGGAAAAACGAAGCAGTCAAATGGCTTCAATACCACACTAAAATGCGGTTAAGACTTTCGAAATCACGTAGTGGAGGTTAATCAATGGTACTTTAGCCACCCCTCAAACACTTAAAAACCTACCTGTCCCTCTCTGGTCGAGGGGAAACAGTTAAAACATTATTATTATTATTATTGATTACCAATGGAAACCTTGATACCAAACGGTGCTTGCATATTTGCAACTACTGGGTATGACCCAGGACAGACTAGCTAGGGGTTGGAAGGTTATATTATTTATTTAACTGTAGTGTAGACTAGTTGTATGATCAGTAATTAATTCTATTTAACGTCAATATCTATCGGAAGGAGGTGTACTTAACCCTAGACAACAAAATCCAAACCACAATGTATGATGTATCCAACTCTTGCAACTGAGATGTTGGCAATCAAAACGATATTCGAGTCAAATATCCAGAAATAGAACTGTAATTCCACGGCATAATATCAAAAACCTCCTCTCTGAATAACACCTAACACTCTTAAGGTTTTAAAAAATCACTTAACTCCCTTACTTTCGTTATTTGTGTGACAAACTTTTTTAAAAACAATCATAGTCTACCCTTTTGCTCATTTTGTTAAATAAAAATATTTCTAAACTAATTCGTTTACTCTAAGAAAAATCAACACCTAATAAACAATCTCTAGTAGCATGGCCCAAACTTTTAAGTTGTACCAAAACCATTATGAAAATCAACTCAAAATAAACAAAAAAAAAAATCATACTCCATTTTATCACTATCACAAAAGAAAAAGATAAAGAAAATTCAATTTATTATAAGTTACAAATAAAAAAAAAATCTCAGCGCCATTCAAAAAATTAAGTAAGAGAAAACGTAACGTTGAAGAAAAGAAAAAAAGAAGAAAGTGACTTTTTGTTCCTATTTCTTGAATTTTTATAAGCTCCATTTACTTGATATGTGAATTATGTATTAAGTAACGGTTAATATAGCCATTTTACAATTGCTAGAGGAGGTAGGTGATATTTTTAAAATCTTAGAAAAGCTAAGTGATATTAACAGAAGTCTCAAGAGAGGCTTATGATATTATCCCTAATTTTGCCGATACTTTAACTTTGAAATCAGTTGCATCATTGAACAGAAAGTCAACAGAAAAGAATGTTACAAATGAGTGTTGAACGGGCATGTTGTCAGTGTCTAACATAGACTGAATTACTATTAAAATATACCATATCATAATTATTGACCCTTTAAATCCCAACACTTTTCCGATTCAATCTAAAGTTTTCAACGCAACTAAGTGCAATTTAGTTTGACAAAGGCTCCACCTAATTTGTAGTCACAAAAATGGTGAAGTCCCGCTGTTTAATAGCTAAATAAAGAAAAACACGAAGGTGACACTCAACGGAACTACATACCACTCCAAATAATGCACTGGAGAATTTCCCCTAAATTGCATGGCTTGGATTTGAAGAATGATAGAATAGCTAAATAAAGAAAGGGCAATGAAATTCATATACGTGTACTATAGACCAAAAAAAAAAAAAGAGAGAGAGAGGGACCAACTTATTTGAGTGCAAAGTAAACCCCCTCATGCCATACAGAACTGTGGTTAATCAATGGGATTAGGCATGTTTAACAATTCCCGTTCTTTGCTACGGTTTTAAGGCACGAAACTTGAGAAAAACCTCAGTTTGTGTGGCATGATAAAATGGCTATCGAGCAGCTCTAATGGACAGCAGACGTTGAAGTCCAGAAAGATCAAAGTACAATATAGAGGGCATTATTTCCCATTTGATCACGTTCCAGAAATGCCATTTCAGTATTGCATCTCGAGCTTATTGAATATCGACGACAAAATAAATCATATATAGATCGCCTATGGTGAAAAAATTCTAGTGGAGAGACTGTTGTAATTGTTGATTCCATTTGACAAGAAGATCAGAAGAAGCTAAGGTCAAGAAGATGGGGACAGTTCGCCAATCACAATGTCCTTATTGCCATTAGCCCGCCTTCTAATCTAGAAGAAGCCCCACACTTTTGTCTTTCCATGTCACACGAACATGAAGCATCATAGCCTAGTACTTGTAGACGTGCATTATTCCAAGTCCTCTCCACCAAAACATTGGATGCTTTCAACTCTAGAGATTTGCTCTTTGCCACTCAAACCCAAATTATGAAAAGATGCAATCATGTAATCAATTTTTTGTGTTCTTAGTTCTTGATGCCTGCCCGTGAATGATGTTTTATTTAAACTTTTCCATGGAATTTCCAGCGAAAGTTGATGATACAAGAGCTAAGAGTCTATGGGCGGGGGTGTATTTAATGCAAGTTTTTTTTTCTTTTTTTTTTTTGAGGAACATAATGCAAGTTCAAAACTAGTGGTGAAAAGAAGGTCTACGATGAATGATGTGAGCACAGAAATTAAAAAACTCAAATTTGTAATTAGTCTGGACCTCAAATTGTTTACAACATGTCAACAGAGAAATTACTGTTCCATGTCTCCAAAATGTATTCAGCAGAGTGCATTTTGCAGTAGTGGTAGTAACCAGGGAAGTTTATTCTCCTGAGACATGGGGTGTAAGTTTTAACGAGATTTTTTTTCTTGTAATGATTCGTTTATTTACTGCACTAGCCTTTTTATACTGCACTTTAACCTTGGCTCATCATTAATATATATATATATATATATATATATATATATATATATATATATATATATATATATAACGAGACCAAGAACAACCTTTTTTTTGGGGGGGGGGGGGGGGCGCAAAACTCCATATACAAGAAGAACTGCTAGTCCTGAAATTTTATTAGATAAAATTCACAGAGTGTGGAATATAAACTTTACATCGTACAACTTGAAAACATAAAATTTGACTTTTAAGGAGTTCCTAGTGAGTAGCTAAGATTCCTCTAACCAGGCGTGGTAATTCAGATGAGGAATGATTAACAACAGACGAATTAGAAGCACAGCCAACATTAAAAAGTAAATCTGCTAGCTGATTGGTTTCCTTGTAAGAATGAGAAATGGACCCAAAATGAGACCAAGAACAACTCAGACACAAAGTAAATAGCTAAAAGGAAAGTCCATTTCGAACCCTGAACATGCATAATGCAGTATAGCTTAATTTTTCTCTTCGATCAGATTACGGAGCTTAAAGCCAGAAATAATACTAAAGTTTTTACGTGTACGCAACAAGAAACCAACAAGGAAAGGTGGAGGGCAATTTCTATTCCCGAGAACTAGGTACTCATGTTTCATTTTGATTTCCATTCTGAAGTCCAGATTCGGTCATGGATTGACCAACCCAGGAACGAAACGTCTGTTTTGGCACTCTTTGCTTGGTTACATCTTATTGCAGTATGCACCAAGTCTACAGAACCCACACAATCATTTCTCCAAAATTCTCACTTCTCAGAACGTACATACATATATTTACATACTAATGGCAAATAGTTACATTTTTTTGAAGTGATATGGACGATTCTTTCGGACCCACCATCTCCAAGATGCTATAGGGGTCCCCTTTCTCATGGTGAATTGGTGATAACGTACAAGTCTTCGAGATTTCTACATTTTCAAACCCACCATTATCACACAGGAGTTAGAGTCAGTCATGTACTCTCCTATAGGCTTCTGTAACATCATTCCAAAGCCAGTTTCTAAATATTAGATCCATCATTTAGTCATCTAAGTTGACCCATCCAGCAATTCGCATGATAAACCCTAAACTTAATTTGATCATCTGGTTCAATGGATTTCTACTATTTTCTTACTCATATATATATAATATATATATATATATATATATATATATATATATATATATATATGTACATATAAACAGAACAGAACAGAACAAAACCTTGGCCTAGCTTTTGGTTGCAGCTGTCCAATTGTTTGGTCAGTCCATTTTTCGGTTAACCGGAGAAAGCTAATGAGACGCATTAAAATTTTTTTTAATTCTGCATCCTTTTTTTTTTTTTTTTTAAATTTCTCCACTTCTTTCTATCTTCTGCAGTTCTTTCAGCAATGTGTTTGCCTTCTTTTATCATGTGTGTGGTTGTTTAAATTGATTAAGACTGATTTGTAGTACTGTTCCGTTAGTGCAGTCAAGTCTGATAAAAGGGACAGATAGATAGATGTGTTGACCTAAACTTGTGACTCCTGACGATGTCACTAGTCAAATCAAGTAAAGGCCAATTTGGGAATATTGGCACAAACCAAACTTTAATTAGGATTTAGGAATCAAGAATTAGGAAGTTGAACCATCTTATGTCATGCTAATGATGATTACCCTAGGCCTAATCATCCCTAACCTCACACAAATGATTGGAAATGTGTATGCTCCTCACATGGGTGTACATTAGCAATATGCTTCTGTGCATTGCTTTATCGCTCTTTTCGTCTATTAAGTGGTAGGGTCTTATTATTTTTTTGGGTTTCCAAAGTGCAAGTTGGGTATGAATCAATGTCTTTCGAGCCTTGAGGGCAGATTTGATACAATGCTGCAATACATTGACATAACATAGGACCACCACACTAAATAAGGTGGATTTGATTAGAGAAGCATTGCTTGACCCAAACTCCACGAGCAACTATCATTCCTTAGGATTCTCTCTTATAAACCATCATTCCTCAAGGTTTAATTATGAAGGATCTCGGATCCCCACCCCCCCCCCCCCCCCCAAAAAAAAAAAAAAGCAAAAAATTTCTGTTTTAACGTTCATATCACCTTATGTTTAACAATTCTCGGGTCTTTTAAGGTTTCTTACCAGATGATTAGGTTTAATTGATGATCTATCCTATATCATTCAGATAATCAACTGCCTAGGTGTAGTATTATTGTCTTCGAATGCTAGCTAGCTACGAGAAAAGTCCCAAACCTCCTCTCATCTCCTCTGAAGGAAAACAAGGGGGAAAAAAAAAAAGATTCAAGAAGTCTCTCGTTGCAATCCTTGTCAGGTTATTAGGAGTGGGGGACTCAAAAGTAACTCATCAACAAGGCAGGGCAGGACAGGACGATACATGGATCATATGGAAATTAAAGGAAAGGAAAGGAAAGGAAAGAAAAGGGCAAAGTCAACTCCTTCGAGAAAAATGACGTCATCGTCCACGTCACCCTCCAGTCAGTCGGATCCTTTTTAAGAAGAGAGCCGACTCTCTCATGATCATGGGATGTATCGCATTCCTCGTATGATCCCAGTCCACAAAACTTTTCAAAGTCATTACACCTCCCCAAGCCCGGCCACTACTTCCTCTTCCTCGCTATATAAGTAATATAACTAACAAAACAGACTAAAACCTCCACTAAACCCCACAAGCTCAGCAGAAATCCCCACACCATGTATGCACATAGCAACGCTAATATTCCTGCTACCAATGAAATTCCTTGTGTTTATTCACCACCATCATCATCAACACCAGAATTCTTCGGTCATTTTTCGGCATCTTCTTTGCCAGCCCTTTAGCCATTCCTGTCAACGAGTACGAGTCTTCGTGTGCTCTGAAATCAGAGTTTAGTTACACTAGTACTAGCAGTGGATGCAGCAGCTACAGCTCTCCAACTTCGCTCACCAGTTATGCAACAACCAATTATAATAGTAGTTATTACAGTTCTCCAACTTCGCTAACGAGCTACGAGTCTAACTACAATGCCAATCTGATGCAAAGAAGCATCAGCAGTCACTCTCTGCTGCATAGGAACAATGTAGAGGGGTTTTCTGCCCTTGTCTCGTCCCCAACTGCATGTTACGACTCAGAAACTAGTCCTTTCAGGAAAGTGTTTAGCGCTGGCGATCTGGAGGTGAGTTTATACGCAGTCATAGGTCATGGCTTTCATTCGCAGACTGAGGCTTCTGTAAAATTCAAGTAAAAGCATGCAAATCTGCATCTTTCGCTGCTAACTCCATGCACGTACTATAAATCAATCCATGTTACAGTTCAAAAGGTTTCTGGCTTTCAACCTGATGCATGAGGGTGTCTTACCCCAAGCATTTCTAAGTCTAAACCAAGTCTGTCTATAAACTCACTCGCATGAATGGGAATTCAGACCATATTCATCTTGCTTCCCCAAATTAACAAGGAAGGGAGCGGTGTTATTTCATTAAAAGGCCTAAAAAGGAAATTTTAGAGGCGTCTTTATAACTATGAGGTGGACCTAGGGTAAAGTCTGGTTAAGCGGCTTGAGAAGACCCGTAGAGTGATGTGTTTCTGTCCAAGAACATAGTTTGATGTCGAATAATAAGCTGCAAATCTTTTTTTTTTCTCCTTATCTTTTCGGAATCTTATGATAATAGTAGTGCTATCATTTCCCAACACTTTTCTTGCTGTAATGACTACAAGATGACAAACTTTGGGCGACTTTGAACTGACAGTGAAAATAGTCAAATAAGCTGAAAAACAGTAGTATATTACTATGATAGAAAAAGATCATACCAGATGTAGATAAGTGTACAATTTGGAGAGAGAGAGAGAGAGAGAGAAGCATTTACTCGTCATAATCCAAACTTTCAGTTAAAAAGGGTCCAAGTTTAGTTAATTCTCTTGTTTTGCATGACTTTTAGACAATTTAACACTCAATAGATAACTATTCGAGACACTCCCCGACCCGACACCTCTTGTTATAGCAGGGTATGACTCCAAAGCAACATAGCCGTCGGGCAGATAGTTCTCTGGCGAATGAGTATAGCATCATTGAAAGTATGAGCAAAGCCTGCAGATATAGTCCAGAAGAAAAGAAAGAGAGGATTGAGAGATATAGGAGCAAGCGAAATCTCAGGAATTTCAACAAGAAGATCAAGGTACTTTTTACTACTATAGCTAACATCTATTCACGCCTTCCTCTTTTCATTTAACTCAACAGAACACGCAAGAAGCCTTATCAACGTGCATCTATACAAGCATAAATCTCCAGAGTAGCAGTGAGGTGAAAGTTTCGGATAGACAAGTAGGTGGTCCTAAGGAGAAAATAAGAAGCCTCCTAGACAAAATAGTGTGTGATTAAATCAAGTGGTGTCGGTATGATTAACACACGAAGGCACGCACAGTGTCCTTTTTCAAGTTTACCTGCATTACTTTTCAGGGTCCATGGGGGTTCTAAGCCTCCACAGCTTTAAGTTCTCTCTTTTCGTGGGCTATTCTTGTAACTCGAATTAACTTCTCTATGATTTAGTATGAATGCAGGAAGACACTAGCGGACAGCAGACCCGCATCAGAGGGCGGTTTGCCAGGAATGATGAGATTGAGAAGGCTTCTCAAAATCAATGGGATCAGGCTGGCATTGAGGAGGAGGACGAAGACGATGACAACTGGATTAATATCCTTGATACATTCTCAACTACTCTGATCCCATAATCGGGATTACATTATGAAGCTCCTAAGTTTTAATGTAAATGGAGCACCTAGTTTACGTGTTGAAGATGGTAATCTTTGATTGCAATGTACTTTTAGCATTGTCAAGGATTGCGTCTGATAAAAAGAGCTCCCTCATGGTCTTTTGTGTATTTGAGCTCATTGGCGTTTCTATTTTGTATTGATGCACTTCAACTCAAGTTCGAAGGTAGTTTTGTACATTGTCCTGTTGGTTCCATATTCGTATGTATCTGTCTATATGCTGAACGAAATGAATGTAAACCCCTCATATTCATCTTAAAAATGATAATCTCATTTCGACATTAGATTAGGACTAATAATGTCCACATAAATCTTCTGTATCACATTGTTGCATTTTTTGGAACGCGTTTCAATCAAATTTACATAGTTGATCAGAAAATTTCACCTCAACTCCACAAACTGTGCTAATCACTAGGAACCTATAAATGATGCAACCTCAACTCAAATTTTGATAAACCTCGCAAAAGACAAATGCTAATGTCATATCCTGGGTTAAAATGGGACAAGCACTCAGTATAATTATGTTTATATTTTGTCATCCAATCGTACGTATTTAAATTTTTACGTACAAATATATCATAACATTGTATTAAATATATGACAAGTATTCTATTCATGTACATCACTTTTTACTCTATATACAACAATATAATATAATTATATATCAAATAAATATTTTTTTAAAAAAAAAAAAAAAAGTATTAGCAATCGGACGAACCTCCGAGTGCTGTGCCCCTTTCCCGTTAAAATGCATGGAAGAGACTTAGCAAAGTCAGTTTTCACCGCCAGGAAAGTGACACCTAACTAATCTACACTCTATTGATACCGGCACTATCGCTGCTACTGCTAGCCGTATCATGGGGGACTTCAACAACTTCATCCATCATGTCTATGGATACGGACCTGAACGATTGTTGAGTAACAGTCATTTGGAATAATGTAATATTTTCTATAAGACGCAACTCTACATAAATTATTTATAATTTTTGTAAACCTTAACAATGAAGACATAATTACTACATATAGATCCATATAAACGATAACAAATATCATATTTCTATTATAACGATGTACAAAAAATTTATATAAAATTATAAAATTCAAAAAATATTACATTGTTCAGAAGTCAACCGCCCCATATCTACGATGTGCTCAGCCAGCAAACCCACTTAGTTGAGCAGTCAAATGGCATAAGCAACAATAATTAGCGTCCGGAAGTTAGTACTGTAACATCGGTTATAGTGGAGGAAGGCCTCTGAAGAGTTTTATACCGTATAGCTTCGGAAAAATGGTGTCAAGCTTGTATTGGTCGATTTGAAAAACATGGGATTTGTTGCCCAGTACACTAGCAGCCTCTGGTTGCGCTAGACGCTAGCACATTAAAAAAAAAAATTGGAAGAAAAATGCAGGGAGTTTCTATGCAAACTTTGCCACTTCATTCTTTGACACTCAGAAGCGGTATAATCTCCAAACTTTATCAAGCGAATTGATAAAATGTCCTTGAATATTGCATCTTTTCCTGGTTGAATATCTGAACCCCACGTCAGGCATGTCAAATTAAAATAAGAAGAAAACAAGGCACACTCAAAAACTCAGTGCGGAGCATGCATCTCTATCCATACGTGAATGTCATTAAAATATTTTTCTCATGGATGTTTGAGATCACAAATGTGAAATCGTCGGGGCTCTTAATATCTCCTAAGCAGCAATGTCTAAGGAAGAAGGCAGACATTCTTTCCCAAAATAGAAATTATAATTCCTCCAGTAAGCCGCTTGATCCATATTCCTTAAAGAACAAGCAACAAGGTATAAACAAAGGTCTAAAGAAGCTGGCACCTACCCGCTAAAGAAACCACCTAAATTATATATGGCATCGACTGAAAGATGAATACAGCTGCACAAAGCCCGTCCCTGCTCCTTTTAAATATTTTTTAAGAGCAGTGTCTGGCATTAGGAGTCATATCTGTTATTTAATATTCCAAAAGTAACAATCCTGCTCCTAATTTACTCTAATCATTTGGTCTCTCACGTTAGTGAATGATGAGCACAAGGTTACACATTGAAGGTTATGAGTGCAAGTGTAATGACTAGCATCTGAATCTGGACGTTGTATTTTAGTTGAAGGCCACAGAAATCAAGATGCCTAGAAGTGGGAGGACGGCTGGTTGATTCTTGTCAGGACGACAGTGGCTAGCCCACTACCTGTGAATAGCCAGTCAAAAGAAGGGCAACAAATAAACTATTTCACAAAGACATAGGTTGTACACATCCTAGTGTTAAAACATGCATGAGCTTCATCATGAATCACCTGTCTACCCCCACATGTGCAAGAGATTCTAGCCAGTTCCATTTTCTGGATTTGAACCTAATGACCCACTTCATAATCCATAAATAGCTGAAGCACTAAAGTTTTCATCAAGTATTTAAGAAATTTGACCAAGAAATATGGTAAAACAAACAAAAGATTTTGATTACCACGAGAAATGCACAATCCACACACTGGGGAATCTTGTCAAGGTTAGACGCTAGATACAAAAGCCTATGATCTTGGAAAAGGACAGTTGTCTATATGGTGTGATAATTATGCAGAAAGTAAACAAACAGCAGCCGCTCTGCTTCCTTTTAGAGTATTATTAGCAAATAGAAAAGGAAAGAACAGAAAAAAAGGTCCAACTTCCTCGGATTGTAGAACAATAATAGGCCATAAAAAATAGCATAGCACATGAAAAGCATTATATTCAACTCGCCTAGTTTTAGCTATATATTCCAGTTACGATAAAGACCGGCACTTAGGCACATTCAAAACTTTAAAGCATTGTAGGATAATGATGATTGCCCATTTTACTCAGATAGCAACTTGTCCCGAAATGCTACCCCTGGAGTTTCTTAGCAATCACACAAGAACAATCCCAGCTAAAAAGTACAAAACTACACTAATTTTTCAATCCACTGGTCGTTGTCCTTTCCATGCTTAACTTCCCCTGCTTCCCGAAACCCTCTGTATTTATGCAATCAACCCAACTTTATGATTAAAAAGAACAAGCATAACAACAAGAGCAAAGCAACCACCATAATGGCTCCCACAATGTCGTTTTAGAAATTAAAGATAAAAATCAAGGGGTCTCACAGAAATGTCAGACATTTATGAAGAAAAACTCAGACGTAACTTTTGTTAGAATATTCGCTCAATGATATGTTTATTGCGATATGCTAGTGTAAACAGTGAATAGTTTTTTAATCACAAGATTGGACTGCATTTGCCAGCCAAACTATAGGTCAAGTGCAGTATAACACCATTTAATTTTCCACCAAAATCTACTCAGGACTTCAATAGTTCTTGCCTTTAAAGAACTTTAACGTGAACTCAAGGAAAAAAAATTTTCTGCTGAATCAATTTTTCAAATTTCTCACTGCACATTTATAAAAGCTTGAATTGGATAAGAATATTTTAAACAATTAATCAAGTCAGTTGATTCTAACAAATAAACAAAACTTACATGCACAAAATAATTACGGAAAGCGGCAATATTGACAGTCCATCCTTGCATTTTTCAGCTAATGAATATGAAGTATCAATGTTGCTATCCTTCAGGGAAATGAGTATAGAGATAATTTTACCACCAACCATGATAATTGCAGCCACAATAAACATTCATTAAACAAGATCAAAAACTCCTGAAAATGAAAAATTTTCCAATTTTCATATTCTTAATAAATTGTAGTCTCAGATGCAAGGACCAAGAATTTAAATGAAGGGGAAAATGGCACTTGAAGACAAAGGTCTTCTATGATAAAGGAAGAAGGGAAAACAACTACAGAAGAAAGGGTACAGCACTACAGCCTCAACTATTATACAGTTGTAAACCAACCGAGATCAATTTTAAAGGAAGGAAACCTTACCTACTTAGGTTGTATTTAACTTGCGAGCCTTCCTCTTGAAAGGCCTTGAATTCAAGATATGTTTGAGATTAAATGGAATCTTCTGGTGAACTGACCTTCGTTTTCCTCTGCCTCTTCCTGTATTTACGAAAAACTGAATTAAACATAATATTGACAAAATAAAAGTAATCAGTAAACTATCAAAGCAAGAAAAACAAATGAGAATAGCAAAATGGAATGCATGATGTTACTAAAATGTGCAAACAGCAGTCCAGTAGCGGTCAGCAAATTGCACAAAGTTTAAATACTAAACCCATTGTTAGAACAATATTCAACTCTTTTCATTCTAACTAGGGATAAGCAACGCTTTATCTACCCAGAAACAGTAGGATAGAGTGCGATCAGGAATATGAAACAGTGGAATCAACCACTGACAAAGTTAGGCGCAATTACAGGCTAGAGATTGTAAACAGATGATTCGTTAAAGTTGGACCAATGCAAAAAGAATTATGTAACTGACTTTTGGCCTTTACCCTACCGTACTCTGCTCAATCCCTATCTGCCGCTAATACTTATGACTACATTCAGGATATAAGCACAGATAACTATCACAAAAAGGAGAATAACAAGTGAAGAAAAAGCAAACTTTAAGAAGTAATCGATAGGAAGAGGTACTTGAAACTTGAAGTAATAAATTTCTACAGAACCCCATACTGGACAACATATTGTCTAAAAACATAATAAAATCCCCGAATAATGTAACAATGTAATAGTTGGGGACTTACATTGTAGTAGAAAAAGAATAAAAATCAATACAACTACAATGATAATTACGCACGAATGAGAAAAATGCTTTTTGGTTTGAGATAATAGCATTACAGTTGACAGCATCAAACTAAAATTACAACTCAATGATAATTTCTTTCATCACCTGATACAGATTTGCTAAGAAATTGGTAATGCATTGCAACTTCACCCTTCAATTTCCTTCGTCCTTCCATCTCGTCTTCCTCCATCAGTTCAGATGCCATGTCTTCTTCAATGGGTTCGACTTCTGAAACCAGAGACCCATTTGCCTTTTTTGCCGGATCATGAGACTCCTCATTAGGAATTTCAATAGCAAAGGCAGCTAAATTTTCTAACTTTTTCCTGAAATTGTTTATTTTCCCTAAACTCTTCATTTGAATGTGTATCAGACACTGCCAAAAGCTGGTATTTCTTGTTTTCCCGGTCCATCTCAATCTTGTCCACAACTGATCCACTTTCAGCATACAAACCTTTGGTGGAACTGATAGGCATCTTAGCTTCTTCACCATGGAAAGTGGATAAAACATCTTTTGAATGAAAAAAGAATTTCCGCATTGGCAATATCATGACAGGTATGAGCTGTGTCAGCATCATCTGCACTATAGCGGTTTGTCATATGATCTGCTAGAGGGACCTGTTCATAACTATCTAGGCAACTTTGTGAATGCAAATTATGAAATTCTCTATCAGAAGCAGGTAAGTCTGCATCCAAGTCCTTTGCAGTTTTCAATTCCATTGTGGCAACCACATGGTTAATCTCTTTTTCCGCTAGAGTAGAATCATTTACAGATCCATTAGGCAGAGTTCGCATTTCAGAATCTTGATGTCTGGGGCTCTGATGCCTATCATTCTCAGAAGTCTGAATTTCTTCAGGCAGAAGATTAGTCCTTGACAACTCTTCAGATATCCCAGATACTGAAACAGTTAACTTAGACTCATCAGCACCAGACAGGTTTTTACCAATATCCAGTGCCTCAGATGCAGACTCTACAGCGGATAAAATCTCCTTAATCTGCAAACCATGAGAAGGGAGGCTATTTAAAGCTGAGGCAAATCCAACAGTTTTCACAGTATTATGTACACTACCAGAAGCTGAGAAAGACTTCTCAATGTCATCTAATAGCAAGTCACCTTCGCCACTCGAAATGGGATCCCACTTAAGCCAGTCACTAAATACACTTTCCTTGGGATTAACTTTTCCACTAGAAGGCATTACTTCTACTTTTATTGCGTCCTTATAGTAATGCTTTTTCCTCAATGCATTGACTATGACAGATCTGCCATAAAGAAAAAAAAAATGCTGACAGACTCAGATAAAAGCGTTGAGGGGAAAAAACACATACACACCTGCACGAAAACCTACGATTCAGCATACCTACAATTCTTGGAAACAGCAGCCTTAGCATGTTCAAATGGCAGCCCAATCAGTGAAAACAAATTTGCAACATCATAAGGCCCCCTAAGTTCAGACACAGAAGCAGCAGCACTTGAGATGACAAGATTCTTCCCTCGAGTCCAATCCACCAGTAGCTGGAAGTTTCGATTGTTTCATGTTCAAACCAGAAGTAACAAATGTTCAATGATAGGTTTAATGAGCATTTGCAACCCAAAAGGTGGTCTTCCAGATTATAGTCATCAAACTTTGAACTCCATCAGAAAAATCCATAAGGAGCTAAAATGCAATGATGCAATTGACTTTCATTTTTCTAGTATCTACAGAAAATGGTACATAACTCAGTATGTGATTCAGCACAGAGACTTGCAAATCAATCTGAACTAAATTCTCTCAAACTCACAACCATCAAATACTGGAAAAGGAATATGGCAAGTTAAGCTATGTTGTACACTGAAAGTTATGCTTCGAATAAAATTAGGTGATGAAGAATTTGTTTCCAGTAGGTATGCTGTATGCCTATACTTTTAAACTAGTGTTATCACCATCATTAAAGCGAAGCTAGAAAAGTTGGTGTGTACATCTCATTTAACATATCTCTATTTCACTTGAAACAACTAAAACAAGTGTCATCTCAAGTTTAATATCATTGCAGAACTCTGATCAACACTTAAATGCTTTCACAGGCATTCCATTGGAAGTAGGGACCACTATGAATTTCCATGACGAAAGTCAATAAAGCCAAGCTGCAACTTATTTCAGAGTTTTAGGAAGAAAAAAAATCTCCAGAACTCACCTTGCAATTAGATATTGTTTGCCTCCTCACTTGAGCATCTACAATGAGACTCGAATAACTGATCTCAAAATACACCCCACGCTGCATGTAATTTGTATACACAATTACCACTGTGAGAAACTATCACTTTGAATGAGATTGATTTTATGCAAAAAAAAAAATTACATATTCCATCCACATGCACACAAAGAAAGACTTTTCAGTCTTCCCAACCTGTGACAGCGATGATCACAGTGCAGTAACCTAACTAGTTACAGATACCCCCCTTCCCTTCCTTCCCCCATTTCCACAGGTCTATGACATCAATCACCAATCAATAATGGATTCCCAGGTGAATGAAGATTAACTAAGCCTAAGATCTTGTAAAATAACTTCTATTCGACTTCGAGAGCATTTATGGCAGCGTGCACAATCACCCCTTATTTTAATCATATTACAAAAATAGTATAGACCAGTTTCCTTGTAATAATGTCTGCACGCTCTTCTCTCCCCAAACCAGAGGCAATAAGGGCAGGGGCGGTCCTACCTATCCCTACAATTGAAAACAAATGAATCCAAAATGCCTCAATGTTGTTTGTGTTTAACTAAGAACAGCACAATGATCACATTAAATTGCAACTATATCTCAAATTTCTAAGGATCATGAGTTCGTAGAGAAGCCAATAATGAAGAAGAAACCTTAACGGCAGCTTTCACCATCGATTGCTTGAGCCGAAATGGCAACTTCTCGGAAAAATCAATAGCAATGATATCAACCTGAATTCATAAAAACTAACCGTTAAAAACAAATACGTGAACACTTATATACAATGGAAATACAAATTAAACAAATTAGTATTTGTATCCCCAAGTTTCATACTTGATTCCTATCATCATGCTTATAAAATCCCAGATATTAAATATTCACAAATTAAAGTAAAGAAAATTAATTAAAAATTAAAAATACAAATGAAAATGAAAAAAAGAAACAAACCTCAGAGGTTTGGCAAGCCTGCTCGAAAGCATTCTGATTTATGGGCCTTACAGCGACTATATCGTAGCTTTTAATAAAGGATTACCCGAATTAAGAGCGGCAGCTTGAGCCGGGCAATCAATAACGACAGTTAATCGGGAGTACTGACGGAAAGGGGTGGAAACGGGGACGTTTAAGAGGTCACGGTGGAACTTAACGGAGCTAGAAAAAGAAGGGGCGTGTTTGAGGAGAGAAGAGAGGGGAATAATGAGGTGGAGCAACGGTCCGATTCGGACATAACGCCTTTAATTACACGGTTGTAAGCGACTCCGGTGTAGCCTAGCTCGGCGGCTTTGATGACGAGCTTGAGGCGGTTTGATTTGTAGGTGGTGGTTTCGGTCACATGGCGGTCGGACTCGTTGTATGGAATGTTCAGGTCGAAGAACCCCATTCCTTTTCCTTTTTCTCCTTTTCTTTTCCTTAAATATTTTTGTGCTTCTTCTTTGTTGGATGTAAATGCTCGTGGAATTTGGAGTTTGGAGGGAAGAAACGGCGGGGAGTGCTGAAAGGGTTGTTGTGCAAAAGTTTCGTGGCGTACCTCCTCCTACTCGCAGTCCTTTCAAGTAACCACTGTTTATTAAGCTAGCAGAAAAAACACGAACTAAGTACTAAAATAAGTATGATCTTAACCAACGGGTGATTTGGTCAATCGAGAATAATGTTTGGACAGTGCAGAGGCCCGTCCTGGGCCTAGACACGTGGTAGCCCAAGAATGACAGAGCTGAACTTGGATCCCAGGCCCCTGACAGCCGTCCTGGGACACACCGCCACTAGGGCATCAAAAGGCTCCAGGGAACAATCCCGCAGAGGACGGGGAGAATTCCCCTCGGCGCTGGATTGATGCTATATCGGGTAAGTTCCGAAACGTATGGAGATCAGACTCTCGAGCAGGTATAAATGGTAACGCACACCAACTACACAAGGTACGCTCACTATTAACTAAACACTCCCAACAGTTTTACTCTCAGTGAAATCCACTCACCGGAAGACTAATTTGACCGTCGGAGTGCCTCCAGGAACCACCTCAGGGCCCCCCCTGCTAGTCACCCTAGAGATCGTTTCTTGTTTGTTTTGCAGAGCTAGAACGCGCTCTCCTCATCAGCACGCCGAGCTCATCAGGTCAGCTCGGTCCGGGGAAGTTCAGTGCTTCTTCAGACAGCAAATTAGTTCAAATAATATTTCGTTTGCATGATAAATATATTTTTTAATTCATTTTTTTATATTTTTTATCACCTTTTTATCTCATATATATCATATTATAAAAAATTTTACAATAATTATTTCAAATAATACTCAATCAAAACAAACCTGCTGATTTGGTTGGAAGCGAAAAATTGAAAGCACGCTTTTTGGTCAATATTCATTTTCCCTCATTTCCTATTCACTTGAGCAAAAAAATAAATTATGTGTTACTATCATGAGTTTTATTTTTTCCCCAATCGGTACTTGTCTATCTTACACTTACTCCTACTCCTATTTTAACATATTTCAAGAGGAAGAGTCCAACTGAACCTATTAAAAACCCAACGGAAACTGAACTACAATTAAATTAGACGAGTGCACTATACATTCGTATGGATTCAAACCACTTAAAGTGGCAAGTCACATATAGTAGCAATTTGTGGGAAATAAGGTTTGTACCTTAACCTCTCACCCCACCAAGCATTAAAGTTATGGTGGTGACCAACCACCCAAATAGCTGTTGGTTCCATGTATCATGAGTGAGACATAATTAACGATTAAGGACTACATACTATAGTTAAATCATACGTATGTAAAGTCTATGAGCTTGACATATTGTATGATCAAAGAGAAATAATTTGGTTTGTCTTTAACAAAAAAATAAGTATATTTTAATGAAATAGAAAATAATGGGAATGAAAAGACAGAGATGTGCTATGGACCCAATTTTAGTATAGATGACTTGTAATTGTGAACTTAAATTAGGGTAAAATAAAAAATAAAAAAAAAACCTCCTGTGGTTAAGCTAACCTACAAAAAGCCCTTTATAATTTCAAATCATACATTTCGACCTTTTATGGTTTGAACTATTTTAAAACAGTAATGAAAATTGTCAAAAATAACGAAGGTAGACGAAATGACACAATTATCCTAATATATATAAGCAATAAAAGACCTTCTACCAACCATCATGTTAAGCAAACTTATGGAAAAAACCCTATGCTTAAATCAACCTATAGGGAAAAAAAATCCCCATGTGGTTATATGTTACTATCACTACCGTTCTCTATCTTTTGCCGCCATTTTCTATTGCCTCATTCTCCTCCATCCCAATCCCTATTCCTCTCATTTTTTGTCCACTATCTTTCTCTCTCTCTCTCTCTTCTTATTTCCCTCCCTTGCACCCCCTTCTCTCCCATTGCGGCCCTATATTTCATCTCCTTCCTTGACCAATCTATCACTAGAATGAAGGAAGAAGATGCAGAGGAAGGGCAATCTAGTTTGCGACCTCTTCCTGCACCCTCTTCCCTCTTTCCCGCGGCTAGCTATGGTTACTAAAAGAAGATATGGTATAAGGAAGTAGCTATGAAGGGAAGAGAGGGAGCAGGATGTAGTAGAGGGGGTGGGAGGGAAGGAAATGGAAAGGAATAGAGGATGAAAGAAAGGAATGAGGCAGTGATAAAAAGAGTGGGCGATGGTGGAAGGTGAAAAATGTTGGTGGCAAGAGACGGGGGTGGTGGTGGAGAAATAGATGATAGTGGTATTTTATTTTAATTTATTTATTTTGTGTATAGAAATGAGGTGAGTTTATTTACGATATTTTATTTATTTATTTATTTTGTGCATGGAAATAAGGTGAGTTTTATTTGAAATTATTTATTTATTTATTTTATGTATAGAAATAAGGTGAGGTGTATTTGGGAGTTTTAGGTTGTTTTGAAAATTTTATGAGTTTTAAAGGATTTAATATGTATATCAGCTAAAATTTTGATTTAAAATTTATTTTTCATATCAAGCAACCTCAAACTCATTAATTTAAATAATTTTTGTTAATTTTTCACATTAGTTCAAACTACGAGTTATTGGATCGTATGATTCGAAAATATAAGAAACTTTTTTTCTGTATGTTCGTTGAACCACAAGAGACTTTTCTATATTATAACTCTAAAGATATAATAGGTATATCAACTAAAATTTTGATTGTTTTAAGTACAAATGCTTGTAAAAGAAACTCACGTATTTCAAACTTGTTATTTTAGACAATTTCCATCATTTTTTAAAATTAATTCAAATTATAAAGTATTGGAGTGTATGATTTAAAACTATAAGGGATTTTTCTATATTTCGCTTAACTTTTAGGGGATTTTTTATATTTTACCCTTTAAATTAACTTGTTGAAGATGTCTTAATTAAATGACTAAAGTTGAGATTCTTGAAGTTAGAGATTTTAGATCCAAGTATCTTATCCTCTACCTACCAGCTTTTACCCCTTGCTAAAAAACTAAAAATATTACGTATGACCTTGATTGTTATTACTTTTGCAAGAGATATAATGTCGTTCTTTGCCATTGATTGTTACTATTACTTTTGCACGAGATAATAATGTCATTCTTTGCGGCAACCACCGTTCTCCATTCTTTGTTTTGAATGGAGGGAAAGCTACGTGAAAAGTGCAAGGAAGTGAAGCAAAGAAAAATAAAAATAATCTTCTAATTTACTTTTGCTCATTGAATAGGTGATTTTTGACCCGACTCGGATAGCTGAAGCGCACTCTTGGTTGGAGAAGTAACTTACTCGCAGATCACCTGCTTAGTTTATCAGAGACGGGGCTAGGTCCCGGATTTTCCTCCGACGATCTAGTTAGTCATTTGACAATATGAAATACGGAATATTTTCACAGGGTTTTAGGCTTTTACCAGGAAAAATGTCATTTTCTTAATGGAAGGTCCTAATATTTATAGGGGACAATTTGGAAGAAAGGACTGTGGGGTCCAGGTCCTTCGAAATTTGACTAAGACAGCATATCACCTTGACTCGACAACTCTGGGCAGTGGACAGGGTGTCAGGGCAGTGAGCAGAGTGTGTTAGAGGTCATATCCACTACTTTTCGGTTGTTAAATCCTTTAAACAGGACCTTGGTAATGATGTGAATCACAACTTCGTCCTGAGGTGACAGTGGATGCTGAGTCCATCTCGGTCATCGACAGGTACGGGGTAGGCGAGGTGATAATGACGGATGGAGTCCCACTATGATGGACTGGAATACCTCCTCGGTGGATCCGAGCTGGGATGACCATCCTTACTCATTAAGAAAATTTTGAGAGAAAATGAGAAAGCTAGTTGACAATTACTAACAGTTATCAAAAATTTTGTCTAAGTAACCCATTTTCCATCAAAACTTTACAAAAAATTACGAGCCACAAAATGTAGAAAAGAGAACGAAAGAGCAAGAAAAATTTTGCCTACTTTCTTGCTAACCAAAAAATACACGAAAGAAATTTAACTATTTTCTTCGCCTTTTCTTGCTAACAAATGCTATATAAGTATTACAAGACAAGTTGGAATATTTCAAGCTTGCTAATAATTTAACCACAACATAGTTGCCCAATATTTCCGCATTAAGCCCTAATTACCAAATATAAGTACAAAATGTCTTTGTTTGGATCGTAATTTTTTAAAGAAAAATTTTTATATTTTTGTAATTATATTTTTCAATTACTTTTTACTTCAAATATGTTAAATCGTTACAACAATTTTTTTATTTACAAAAACTCCACAAAATGGCAATTCAAACTAAATATTAACCTGTACGAGATACTTCTTCCACTCCTATTTAAATGACCCAAACCTAGTGTTCACTGTTATTAAATCAAGAAAGCATTGGAGAAAATTTTTTTTTTTTTTTGCAAATTTATCCTTATTTATACTCTCAACTTTCTTGAGTTAGGATTATAAAAAAGTAAATTTTACATACAATATTAACGTATACATTATCATGGTTGGATAGATGATACACCAATAAATTTTAAATTTTAAATTTAAATTTTGCATATGTATCATATATCTAATGGTAATAGTGTATACACTGATAATGTATATAAGATTAATCTTTATAAAAAACTAAATGCAATGTTTATAGCGTTAAACTTAAAAGTAGTTGAAAATATATGAAAGATAAATGGTAGCTTTGAAAAGTTAGGTAAAATCATTATTGAATTTTAGAAAGAGTAAATCTTATATACACTGACAGTGTATACACTATCATCGTTGGATTCATGATATATGTGTAAAAGTTGAATTTTAAATTTAAAATTTACATAGTTGTCGTTCATCTAATATTGATAGTGTATATATTATCGGTGTAGGAAAGATTAATTCTTTTTAAAAATTAATGAAGTTTCTCAATCTAAGAGCTTCGGATATTCAAGTCACTTAAATAGGAAAAAGGAGGGAGTAACGAGAGTAGGAAACCCGACAACCCGATCAGAACGCTCCGCCCGTCACGAATCCATCTTCCCCCAAAATCCTCATCAGAGCGGTTAACCGTCCCCGCCTAATTTTTAACTTTTCTCCAAATCCAAATTCCGAAACCGTTTCAAACTTTTCGCACCAAATTCCGAAACACAAAATGTATTTTAAAATCAACACCTCCACGTCATCGATCCTTGTCGCTCCCCGAAAATGCATCCCAACTGTCCATCCATAAAAAATCAACCGTCGAAAACATCTGTGAACTCCCACTCTGGATCGACCCCTCATTAGATCCCGAGCAATTTTCCTCAATCATCACCGCTATAAATTAACACCCCCACCCACCGCCTTTTCACAACCCTATCACTCCACTGCTTTCCCTCTCTTCGATCCAGGTTCCTTTTTTCTTCTCAATAGATGCCACTCTTACTGCATTTCTAACAGCATTTTTCTTCGCATAATTTGTTTTTTGCATTTCTAACAGCATTTTTCTTCGCATAATTTGTTTTTTCTTTCGTTTCATCTCTTGAGCTACGATCATTTCTAGCTAAATTATGAATTGGTATTTGTTTCTTTGGTAATCCATCCTCATTTTACATTTTTTAAATAAATTCAGCTGAAAATTCCGTTCAATTAATCACTTTTTTTTTTTTTTTCCTTTTGATGCTTCGTGTATTTCATAATTTCACCACTGGGCCTAAAATGTTTCCAGTTTTTTTTTTTTAAAAATAATTTTGGGGGTATTTTTGTGGGTTAACTTAGTTTTCTGGGTTTATCTTTTGTGTACATTGTTTTTTTTTTTTTGGGGTGAACTTTTGTTCACTCGAGCTTAATTTCTGTCAAATTAATCCTTAATTGTTCTTCATTTTGTACAGAAAAGCAAGAGATCCATCTCCAGTTTTCGTACCTAGCAATTGAAAATGTCGGGCCGTGGAAAGGGGGGCAAAGGATTGGGAAAGGGCGGAGCAAAACGTCATCGTAAGGTTCTCCGCGACAACATCCAGGGCATCACAAAGCCAGCAATCCGCCGTCTGGCTCGTAGGGGAGGAGTGAAGCGTATCAGCGGTCTGATCTACGAGGAGACTCGTGGGGTGCTTAAGATTTTCTTGGAGAACGTCATCCGTGATGCCGTGACCTACACAGAGCACGCCAGGAGGAAGACGGTGACGGCCATGGATGTTGTGTACGCGCTCAAGAGGCAGGGCAGGACACTGTATGGCTTCGGTGGATAGAGAGACTGGGGGGAAAGGGTAGAATTGACTTTTGTTGGTTTTGCAGAAGTCTTGCTGTCAAGAAAGAGGAAAAAGATTGAGACAAAAAAAAAAAAAAAGAAAGAGGAATGTGCTCGTAGTTTAATTGTGTTTCTTTCTGTTGTCCTGGGATTAGAGTAATGGTAGTGTAATTAGGGGAATTAGTAGTGATTAGGTGGTGTATTTTTGTGTCGTGGTTCATGCTTTGTAAGCTATGCCCTTGGGAATGGTATTTTGGTGATTAATGAAATGATTACTTTGTTGGTTTCTTGTAGATTATGCGAATCTAGCATTGTGATTCTGTACGCTTTTCACTTCAGCGAGAATCCTTCCACGGAACGCCGTTGTTTTTATTGACTTTTGATGAAGTATGGGGATGTAAGCCTTGTTGCGGTTTACTTGTTTTTTTCTTGAAAACCAAAGACGAGCCCAGTTCGATGGTACGCTGCAGAAAATTGCAGAGTTCGACAGTACTCTGCTTTCTGACACGGTAAAGCTGGTGCTTTTCTATATATATTAGTTTTTTCAATCTCACGCGATGCGTGAGGATGCCCTAGCTATATGTTAATCAAGATCAAATGAAGGTAAGTGGATTAATGTAAATTGGTTATATATTTAATACATGATAGGTGTTAATAAATGTGGAGATTTTGATTTTAGGTAAATTGATTATTGTTGTTACTCGTTTACTCATTTGATTTGTAATTTTTTCTTAGATAGTCAGTCTTTAGCTTAAAATCTTTGTAAATTCTTGATACTATAAATAAATGATGCATTTATTTAAATGTACAAGTACATATAAATATCATAAATATAGTGACGCTGATCACTTTTAAAATTATGCACACACTATTTGTATCTAATCAAGAATGAAATAAGTTTCAACAAGATCAGTTAGGTGAGAGTGTGAAAACTTCACCTTGTAAAACTACCAAATCCAGGTCTTCAATTGAAGAAAGAAACACATCCAATATGTTGCTTTCAGATGGCTTTCTCTCAAGATTACATAGGCATGAGAGCTAAAACTCTGAATGAAAAAAACACCAATAAAAGTATCTAAAATAAAGGTTAGATAGTACATTACTTTTCTGAAATTTCTTATCAAGAATTAGTTCAAACATGTTCAAAAAATCTTTCTTGTTATATATAATAGTGATTAAGGCGCACTCAGATGTGTATATAACTAATTAGAATAAAAATATTTGTAATAATAATTCTCTTATAAAAGTGAAGTATTATAGGGAAAACAAGTGCATGGACTTAATTTGGGTGATGTTAATAAAGAAAAATTGAAGAAATGTGTGTCAAATATAGTAGATAAACATGGAGAAATTGAACGTAAAAATATGGGAAGATTCGAAGTTATGGTAAAATTGTTGTTTTATTATTTTATTACAGAATAAATCCATTTTATCCTTTATAATAAAGGCAAAAAAAAAATTAAAAAAAAGGAAGAAAGAACTAACAATGCAACACCGTAAAGGTCATCAAGTTTATATATATGGCACATATATGCTTCCTAAAAAATGCCACTGAAGGGAGAGGGGAAAGAATTCTAGCGTCTGAACTCAAGAGCAAGAGGGCAAGCCCAAACAAATGCCTATGAAATGCCACTGAAATTGTCAAAATTTACAGCATAACCAGTCTATCTGCCTATGAAATGCCACTGAAGTTGCTCAAAATTACCGGATAACCGGCCCATGAGCACTATAGCAACTCCAACTGGCACTTTTAGTATAGCAAGGAAGGATATATATAAAGTAGAATTTTGCAACATCTATAATTTCTCAACTGGTTAGTATTGGCGAAACCAACAAATAGAATTAGTAGAACATACCACTTGATGTTCCACTTCGCTCAAACTAATGAGATCAGCCCAACAATTAAAAGGCCAATCATTCAGTAAAAACAAAACTAGAAAGTCATGGTAAGACACTACCATCAAGAGTTCTATAAATGTCAAACGAATCTATGTAATAATTAACCCTCCATAGTCCAGGTTTCCAACTAATACTTGTATCTTACTCCAAGAACGAGACCGTGGGTATCACCAATATGCCCGTCCGCGGCTTTATGCATGAGCGTTATTCTCAGCCTGATATCTGTTTGATATTTATTTGTTCTCACTCCGCCTTGTGCTTTGTAGTTCTTGCTGATGTTGGAACTCCACTCGTACACCGACCCACAAACTTGAGAACTTCATCAATTAATATGACGGGGAGGGCAACCAACAATACCAATAACCACTCGTTCAGGCTTAAAGGGACAATGCCAAAGACTTGAGCTAGGAATGGAACGTAAAGAATCAAGAAATGCAAGCCAAATGAGACTGACATGGCGACAAGGAGATATGGGTTAACCCATGGAGGCATTGTCAAGAGGCTTCCATCTTCCGAGAGAGCATTGAGGGAATTGAACATCTCAATGGCGACCAAAACAGAGAGGGAGAGAGTCATAGCCTTGATTTTGCCAGTCTGGAAGTAGTCACATGGAGTGTCAAAGTCGACCACTAGATTCCCAGCTGTGAAAGGTGAAGCTGTGAAATTCTTCCATGAGTTGCATTGACCCCAGTTAGCTAGCTGGGCATAGGTGACAAGACTGTGTCCATCTCCACTTAGATCAATGCCAAAGAAAGAGTCATGCGTATACCAGATGATGAAAATACCAACTGTTGCTAAACCAACATATAGTCCAATCACCTGCATCAAAGCTCAAATGAGGCAAGCAAACAAAAAGAAGTGATAAAACACTGCACAACTGAGAGAGATCGGTTAACTGAGAGTTAAAAATATCTCACCAGATAACGAAACAAAATCCAAGGACTGATCAACGAATCATCACTTCTCCTAGGAGGTTTCTTCATTACATCCTTATCTGGTGGATTGAATCCCAAAGCTGTTGCTGGTGGTCCATCAGTTACCAGGTTGACCCACAGAAGCTGAACGGGATAAGACCCTCAGGGATACCTAAAGCTGCTGTCAGAAAAATGGAGAACACCTCACCAATGTTCGAGGAAATCATGTACCTGCAACAATGAGAAACATGCTAACTTATCCTTCGCAGAGACAACAAAAAGGTGAGGATAGGACATTGTTTACAAAAGAGCATCAGACAAAGGACAAAGAAGAACATGACATCAAGGGCACTGCTCTGTATTTTGCACAAGTGCTTAAAAAGTGGTGAGTCTTCATGTTTGCATAATGCAAAAGTGCAATTGAACACATTGACATGCAAGAACAATTTTTTACTTATGGATTGGTAGTGTGAAGTTTCTGAATTTAGCAACTGCTATAAAGATCAAGAAGGAAAAGATAAACCTGATGAATGCCTTCATATTGTTGTAAATGGATCTGCCTTCACCAACAGCAGCAACAATTGTGCTGAAATTATCGTCTGCCAGAACCATGTCAGAAGCTTCCTTTGCAACCTGGCATGTTAAGCAAATGTGAGATATAGAATACAGCACCAGGATATGAAACAAATAGTGGAAGAAAAATAACTGTTCTACTGGGTAGTGTATTAAGGTGTCATAAAAGATCGATAGCATTTCATGGTAGCCACAAAAGATTCATTCACTAAAGTTTCTTCTTTTATCTTCCCCACGTTTCATGTGATATTGATCTTGATTGAGGTTCAAGTCCTCTGCGATACTATAAAAAAATAAAAATTCAACTGGCACAAATAAATATTCGCACATACACCATTGATTTTCATATCATAATGAGAAACATTAACATCATCACATGCTTCAAAGCAAGTAAAAATCTTAGTTCTGGAAGCCGAAAGCAAAGTTCTACCTCAGTTCCTGCAATTCCCATTGCAATTCCAATATCTGCTAATTTCAATGCAGGTGCATCATTCACTCCATCCCCAGTCATTGCTACAACTTCACCATCTTCTTTGAGCAGCCTGACTATTTCTTGCTTGTGCCTTGGTTCAGCCCTAGAGAAAAGAAGTCCCCCAAGCTGTCTTAAATGCGATTTTGGGTTGCGAAGGTCCATGAAGTTTTTCCTGTTAAGCTTCTTGAACTAATATCCTCATGCGATCCAAAAACACCAATTTCACGACATATAGCTTCAGCTGTATTCTTGTAGTCTCCAGTAATTACCATAACTCGAATCCCAGCTGCTCTGCAATCTTCAATAGCTTGGCGAACCTCCTTCCGAGGTGGATCCTGTCAAACAAGCAAAAAACTCACAAACTGTCATAATCTTAACATTTAAAACATGTTTATCGAAATTATAGTAATCAATGCAACAACATTCAAGTATATCCTCACCCTTATTCCAGCCAAACCAACAAAAATCAGTTTACTCTCAATTGAAGAATAATTAGCTGGATTCAATAAGAGCTTATGAGCTGGATGGTCCTCATCACCAGTATAAGTGGCAAATTCTGGAACGTCATCCTTGTATGCAAAACCTAAAACACGTAATGCTTTCGTCGACATTTCATGCTGGCTTTCTAGAATGAGATTCCTTAAAGTTTGATCCAGTTCGACAACAGAACCATCACGCAATTGCACAAAGGAGCTTCTCTCGAGCAGATTTTCCACAGCACCCTGTAGACATGTAGAATCTAATCAAGCAACTCAACTAAACTTTCCATCAAGAGGGGAAGAAACTGAGGCTCTTGAAGTCAAAACACTTATGATCAAAATGTTTAGTAATTATAGATGTATTGGTCCTAAAATTCTCCGAACATTTTACACAGAGAAAAGATCAATTTCTGTCAAAGCTCAAAACAAACTAGACATAAAACAAAGCAATGGTGTCCAGAGCCAGAGCAAAAGAATCCTTAGATTTGTACAATGTGGAACATTTCAGACCAGGGAAGCTACATAAAAGATGACCTGGAAGCAGCCACATCAATACCTAGACCACTATTGAGAATAAACATTTCCCATTAAACATGAGTCAACTCTATCCACTATATAATTGACTGAAAAGCTTCCTATATGGAGAGGCTCTGAGCACATACACACATGAAATGCACCGTTTGCAAAGGCATGTTATAAGTTATCAATTGGATTTAAGTGACTATGGCCAGAAAAATAATTTGGAAAGCAGCCATGCCAAATAAATCTTGAATCCTGCCATAAATTGAAGTTACACATTTTCCAGTCTCCGTTACCAAAAAAAAAAAAAAACCATCAGCCTTTGATCAGTATGGTGTCCATCGCAAAGAAAAAAATGAAGGAAACCCAACATTGCACAAGAAGAATTAATTATACCACTTGTAGGTCCCACAGATAAACCAAAGAAAAACATATGA